AATGACATAACCTAATTGAGATTTACGAAGCAGTTTTAAAAGAAGAAGGAGATTTGCTTGGCCCATTTAATGCAGAATTTTTCACAGAATTTATTTAACTTTGAAAACAAAGGAGTTCGTCTAAGATGTCTGTAAGATTAAGAAGATAACAACGAAGTGACACCGAATTTTTTCCAACTAGATACAAGCCAATTTACATTTGAACCATACGAAAATTAAACAAATTTTTCAAATGTAGGAAAATGAATTTTCTCGTTTGAACGAACCGAAAATATTTTGGCACAAAAACTACTAGCATTCGGTTCAAACTTGAAGCAAGATAAATTGCAATTAGGGCGTTTTATTCGACGGAAGATCGAACCGTGATCACGTTCACTGATTTCTGAACGTAAGACGATGATCGAAGCTACAGAGGCGACTACAGATGGAGAAAAATCTGTTCGTCGATGAAACACGATCAAACTGACGAGTCCGCCCTCGTCAGTGATTTTTTTTCAGTAACTTCACAACCCTGAAATCTACACTCTCGCTTGATTCTATATAAAACCGAATTCCTCGTGAATTCCTTCAATTTTTTTCTTTCTCTTTTTCCATTCCTCCTTTTCTCCCCCTTCTCGCCTCTGTTCTCTTTCTTTTCTCTCTCTCTCTCTCTTTTTTACAGGAAAAGTTAAGTTCGTCGATTAAACCCCGATTCTATCTCCATTCTTTTTGTCATCTAGACCTCTTCTAGAATTTGCTTAAATTCTGTCCTCTCGTTTCTTCGTTCGTTCCTTCTACATTGAAAATCGTTAAACCTACTATTTACAGTAGTAGCCGAAATCGACCGCGTTTCCCTTTCTTTCTCGCGAAGAAATAAAATGGTAGAACTGTGTCTCTTGCCTGGGAGGATGAAAGGGGCTGAATTAGCCACGTTTTGATTCTTTTTCGCTTTCTTTTAATCCAGTTGGAGATGCAAGGCAGTCATGAATCTCTGGTTCGATGAGTCTAGCACGAAGCAAGCATGACTTTGGTATAGTTGGGTGATTAGGCTACTCTGACGCTTCTGATGTCGTTGTCAATGTGGTTCAATACTATTGGAAGCTTTGAATTTCTTTTTAATTCAGTTTTGTTACAAAGAAATCTGTTTTATCGATGTTAACTGAGTATTTTAGAATCGATCAGGATAATTGAAATGAAAATGGTGCAAATTTAGGTCTTGAATAGTAACGGAAGAAAATATTAAACCTGGGTCAGGATACAGTTAGACTGTCTCTAGACCAAATTTTATGATCAGATAATAAATTAGGATTTAAATGAATAAATTGAGTATAATCTGACTTGAATTAATTTTAAACCGTGATGTTTGGTATAACTGACATACGAAATTCAGTTTACAAAAAAAAATTAGCCAACACCGTCACAACGATCGGAATTATCACAAACATTAACAAAGAAGTTGAAAGCTTCGCCAGCTAATTATCACACTAATCGCCGTAATTTACAATGAGTCATTGGGACCAATGAATTAAAGTCCAAACTTAACAACGACACCAGAAGCGTCCAAGTGCCTGGACTAGTATAAAAATTCGTTTGCCTCGTCGCTGACAATCTTTTCTATTTAATCACTCTGCCTCATTTCCAGACACTCAGTTCTCTCTCTCTCTCTCTCTCTCTCTCTCACACACTCTTCTATCTAACTAATAGTGTACAAGTTTATAGCCAACATCGAATTGT